GCGGGTAGTCGGAGAAGATGGTGGCAGGCCAGTCGGAGATGAGCGACGGTGGGCTTTCGCCAGATGTCCCGCGTCTTCTTCGGCTGGGGAAGAGAGAGAAGGAAAAAAAACTGAAATCCGTTTTCAAAAAATGAAAACGTGAAAATGAAAACGTCTTTTTTTCGTTTTCAGTTTTTCACAAAAAGACAAAAACGTTTTTGTTTTTGTTTTTTGAAAAGTTTTGCGCCAAACGCATTTTTAGATTGTGTTTTCATTTTTTAGCTTCAAAAAACATGAAAAATGAAAACGAAAACAAAAACAAACATGGCCTTTGTGTTCTTTGAGTGTTCTTCCAATATCCTTAGACAATTTACTTGTTCAATCTAAATTATGAACTTTAGATAAGTGTTGGATGAAATTTTGCTTCAACAACATCATGGCCACCATGAACTCCATCATTATATTGAGCATATCAAACGACATGTAAAACCACATGTCGTTTTCTCCCAGAAAGGGTATTGTCTTTTAATTGCGTTAAAACCGTGTTGAGTCTCCTAAATAAATGGGTTGTTGTTTTTGAATAAATTTTTAGCTTATATTTCGTTGATGTGAAAGCTCAGCCATTGTTATTAGTTGTGTTCAATTCTCAAGCAAGTGTCCTGAATTTTCAACTTCTTGGATTGATTTTGGTCTAATGATGCAATGTCACAAAACATATATTTATTGGCTGAGTGTCGCTCTAACGGTCTACTTGTGACTAGACAAAAACTTGGGGACTTGTGTTGATCCTTGTTCATATTAATCTCAACCTTTGTTTTTTTTTTTTTTTTTCCTTGACAAATACTGCTTTTGTAATCTTTATAAACACTTATGTAGCCCTTTCGTGACTCGTCATGTTAACCTTCAACAAAGTTGTGAGGCTTCGTGACTCTGCAAATTTATACAATGGGTCCCACAAAAGTGGTTTCCAACTGATAGCTTTGTTCTAGACATAGCTACTTTTGTAATGTTATAAAAAACGAACGTATTCATGGTTATATGTCGCTTCCTGTCCGCACGATAGCGCCTAAGCTCACTCCCTCTCCACAAAATTATATGAAACTTTTGCTTTGAACCTTGCCCCATAAAAAATCCAAACAAATATCGGGTGACTAAACGACAATAATGTCCTTGACAAGCCTCATTACTAAAACAACACGACAACGAGAGAAGAGACGTCGTTTTCTAAAAACCCATTTTTGTGACAGCACCGTTTCTCACCTAACTAGGATCATTCGTACAAACCTTTTGGTAGATGATGAACTTTAAGTATATGCTACAAAACAGAATCATACCCAAAAAAAAATAAATAAGTAAATAAAAAGTTAGAAATTTTGGAGAAATTTCATGTTTTCTTTACCTGGATGGTAGTAGGTAAAGAGAGAACTGAGAAGATGCTACAAATAAAATATAAATAAATCAAAAGAAGGAAGAAATGAGATTACATTTGTTAATATATAATTAATCAGCATAAGTAGCTTCTAATTCAATGAACAAAACACGACCATGATTTCGTTGCGATTTTCTTGACATTTTCCTCTCATATCTTTTGTAATTTCAATCTATACATTATGTTCTTCTCCAAGCGAAGTCCCTTGAACCAAGGAAGTCCAATTTCTTGGATATACAGCAATATATAAACGCCTCATAAAAGAGATTTTTGAAATCTTCTAGTGTAAAGCTTGATTCGTGGAAGTAAATATTCTCATGTTAATCTTCCTGTTAAAACCTTGGTTCTTCTTGGAAGAGGAAATGTGTCAATCTCATGAAGTTTGGTTTTGTCATTTAACGTGGTTGTGTGCAATGTATGGGGCCACCATAGAACTCTGGCAAAAAATTCACAAAGAGGATAATCAAAGTTCAACTTTCATATTGCTAGCCGGTAGAGACCCTGAAAATGAAGCACAAAGATATAAATTTAGGGGGCGAAAAGAAGATCGCTTTGGTCATATCTGAAAAAAAAAGCTTATAAGCAAAAAACCAACAATGTATACCATCCACATCTTGGTTATTAGAAGTTCTGGTTCCAAAACTCATTTGGACAACATTGTTAAGCTCATCTTCCCACACATTTGGTAGCTGTAGTCAAAGGTATCATATGAAAGGTTATTTGTAGGGAGAAAAAAAAAAAAAAAAGTCAATGCGGCCAATACAAATAGAATAATGGGTGCTGCTTAATATATGGGATCAATGTTGCGCAAATACAAACTTGCTGAAAAATGGTAACATGAACCTATGTTTTGCTTGAAAAAGTACTAACTATAACTGAAAGGTACCTACCTGAGTAGGCTCCTTGAATCCTCCGGTCAAAGGTGTCAAGTGGGAACTAATTGTTCGCCGAAGTAAGTCAGAAGAGCTCCCCACTCCGGGAAGACCCGTCAGAATAAGCTGCCCTTGTTGTGTCGGTTGTAGCGCAGGATAAGCCATAGGCATATCTGGAGAAAATGCTAGTGAAGATGAAGAACCGATCCGCGACTGAAGCATCTGTAAAGAAACGTAGAGTAAAGGCGAATCAGAAGGAGAAATCTTGATTTACTAGCTCTATTGCTGACATGCACAAATTATAGCATTAGAAACTTACATCTTTTGCAAGGAGCCCTTCAATGTTAATATCAAGCCGTGGATTTACTGTTGCGAGCTTCATCGACAAAAACTGCAACAACAAGATTTGAATTATAAGTATCAGTATGATTTTTATAGCTACCTAACGTAAAAGCAAACACGAGAATTCTTATAATTCAATACAAGCCACAGAATGACAATTCTTATCTAAAAAACTCAACTGCCAGGAGAAATGAAGAAATGGCAATCTCATACCTCAACCTGCCGTTGCAGTGACTGTACATAGTTAATGATTTCATCTAACATTACTGCCTTACCAGTGACCTGCAAAAATCTGTCAATTATCAAACAACGCTACAATAATTTTTGTAAGAATGCTAAAACTATTGGTAAAAAAAACTCACCTTGCTGCATCCAGGCACAAGGTCCTGAAGGAACTTCATCCTTTCACTGATCTTTTCCCGTCTTACCTATAGCCAACAATCAATTAGCTCTCTTCCACACGTGTTCTTGAGAGTTTTCATGAATTCAATTAAACCAACTTCACACTTAAAAAAAACTTAAGGCCTTACTCTCTCTGCAAGACTATGGCTATTTGTCGCCTGGCCTCTTCGAGCTCTCACATGAATGTATTCTTCTTTTGTAGGATCGGAAGCTGGAGACCCTTGTTTGCCATGTTTTCCGCTAGTCTTGTTGGTAGTTGTACTTGGGTTCTGATCTCCTTTCTGTTGAAGTTCAGTATTATCCTTTGCTGATTCACCATGTTGTTGTGAAGCTCCTTTGGCTTGCTCAAGATCAGAATCCTGTCACTGACATTGGAAACATAAGGAAAAAGGCAATGCCTATTATACATAATTAAAGAAGAGTTTCAAAACCATGCTTTACCGGGCCATTTCTTTTCCTTTTCTTCGCACCAAGTCCCTTGGTAGCAGCTTCCCCACCGTTACCTTCCAGCATAGACAGTTCCTCTTGACCAACTCCGACGCCACTGCTATATTCAGCTTCATCAGATTCATTTCCAGACCCACCAACACCTTGTTTTACTTCATCATGAGATTTCCCTTGGCTCTCGCTTTTCCTCTCATTCTTTAGTGGACTCACTTCAATAGCACCCGGCTCAACAGTCACTGAAGCATCTCTTGATACTTCACTCGCATTATTTAGCTCATTCCTTTGAGAGTTCATACCAGATACCGGTCTCACCCCATTGCCTGCCAAAACCTCTTGAGCTCCATGTATCATCCCACCACCCCTTGAATAAACACCCATTGGTTCAGGAATTGCAAAAGGGTTAACCATATCACCGAAATTTCCGCCATTGAAGCACGAGAACCTTGCGGCGCGCTCAATGAAGGCAGAATCTGCCGGCAACTGAGACAAGCCCTGGGGTAGCATTCCGGGCATATTCGGCAAGAAAATGCCCCCTTTCAACAACGAACTTGATGGATTCCAACACATATCAAGTGTTCTATCAATTCCACTTCTCAATGAGGCAGGGACTCCCTTTCTAATTCCTAAAGGGTTTAAAGCACTTACATTGTTTTGAACACCCATTTCACAAAACCCCAAGTTTTGTGAACTTGTGGGGTGGTGGTCCCAAAGTGTGGGGACAAATGAGTCCACCATTGAAGCAGAGGAGCAAGAAGAAGTAGCAATTAGATCACATTTGTCAATTGCCATGGAATTCCCAGCTTGGACCAAACCCATTGATGTATTTGTAAGACTGGAGGAGCCATCAAATCTCCAGTCTGAGGACATACCAGGTGAGTAACTCATAGGATCTTCATTCTTATTATCTACCTCAAATTTATCTTTTTCTCCCATATTATCCATTTCTAATTCTCCTCAACAAGAATACCAAACACAGTCAAACTAGTTCCTTCTTTCACAATTGATCCTGATCATCAACCAGCCAGCTATCTGGTTCTACACAAAATCCACCCCCAGTTGCTCCCTAGTAGCTCAAACAGTATTTAAACAGGATTAGAATAACAAAAAGGCAAGAGAATAGAGGAAACATTCAATTGAAATAACAAAAAACTTTGAAACTTACAAAAGAAGAATCATCAAATTGGTGTCAAAAACTTAATCCACCCAAAAGAAAAGGGCAAAAAAAAAAAAAAAAAAAGAAAAAGCTTACAAGAAGAAAACAAGACAACCCGGTTCAATTAATGAGGTGAAAACGCCAAGAGCACTGAGACAAAGCCAAACCCATGTATGTATGTACCGAAAAGAAAACAACAGTTACCAACGAGGATCACACACGAATTTAAGAGCTACCATTTCCAACGCCAAAAACACTCAACTTTTGAAGTACCAACTTACTTACACAGAGGAAGCTCTCCCAAGACAAAGAAACTAAAAAAGACAGTTCAAAGAAGGGCCTCAAGTCTTATGGAAGGAAGCAGTCAATTAAAACAAAAAACAAACATTGATTTCAGCATAATAAATACCTATTCAAAACCCTAGTCAGAACAGCTCTGAAACACAGAGGAGAGAGAAAGATAAAGACCCAACTAAAAGTAGGCAAGAGAGAGAAAGATACCCATTTCAGATTCTGAGCTACTTTTGGTAGTCTGCCCTCCATTCAACCTTCTTCTTCTTCTTCTTCTTTTTTTTTTTTTTTGGCACTCAGAGAGGAAAAATAAAAACTTTTAATTCAACTTCAAAACCTTTCCTGTTTTTTGGCTCAGGAAAGCTCTGTTCCTGCAAATATTACAACACTGTCACATCCCCAATAAAGAGAGAGAAGTGGCTACATGTAAAGCAAAGGTTTTTCTCAGTTTTCACTTATATTGTAATGTAGAGAGAGAGAGAGAAACTGGGGTTTTTTTTTTTTTTTTTGGGGTGGGGGGTTTTGAAAGAGAGTGAAAGGGAAAAGAGAATTAGGAAAGGTCCTGCATTTATACCACGCTTACATCAAAAAGAGAGCTCTTGATGATTAACCACCGCCACTGCCACTGTTAAAATATTAAAAACACCTCCTTTTCTTCACTACCTTAATTATTCACTTTGATTAAAATTGATTATTTCAATTTTTTTTTCTTTTAAATTTTTTTTTAAATATGTGATCATTATTCCAGTTTGAGCTACCTACTGACAATGCCAACTCTGAGCTTAAGGCTTTTTTCCTTTATCTTATTGCATTGTCCTTCATTACACATTGGGAGAAGAGCTTTAAGATCTTTAATGGGGGGTTTGTTTGGTCAAGAACCCCAAAAATCTAGCTCATTTTTCAAACTCTACTTTTGTTTACTCTTTTTTCTTTTTAATTTTTTGTTAGAATGATATTATAAATATAATCTAATCTAATATCTAGTCGTCTAGAAACTAGGCCATATGGTTGACGCAGTGTTGTTGCATTATTATTGTGTGGGAAGATCTACGACTATGGCATCTCTTTCTCTCTGATGATAGCTTGACCATCTTATCTGTCACACTTAGCTCTATGCTGTTCATTTGACCATACCTTGCCAGGCCAGGGCCAAAAAAAAAAAAAAAAAAAAAAAACACTACACGTGTTATTTGAAAAGAAAATTCCAAGTTATGATGCTCTTTTCTAATTCAAAATAACATTTATAATTGACTGGCATTTTAGTTGTCAAGTTAATTTTTCTCAATTAATAAGTTGAAACTAGTTCTGATGTAGAAAACAGTCCTTTTTTTGTGTAATTTTTTAGTGCCTAATTTTCCTCTAAATAATAGTCTATGATCTATCCTTATTTGAAAGTTCAGTTTTTGTCTTTTAAACAACCTCAAGTGATGGAGACGAGGGTATTTCAGATTAAATTTTACTAACTATTATCGATTTGGACACTCCACATCATTTTATTAATTTTAAGAGATGACCTTTTAAAAATACATATGTAAAAGGAAACTTGAAATTTGAAAAAAAAAATACAATAATTAAAAATAATAATTATTATCATAATAATAATAATAATAAAGAAATTCAAGGGCAAGAGCGCCAAAATTCGACCATATGTTGGGCCTAATTTGTCTTTCTCGTTGAAAATATCTTTGAGCATAATTATTGACATCTTTGGTTTTCAGTGATGTCCATTGGTGTGGATTTGCATGGTGAGGGAGGTGCATGGTTTTTCGAAACTAATAGCGTGTCCTTGTTTTGGGCATAGATAGGTATGGAACAAAATATTTTTCTTCTAGCAAAAAAAAAAAATATATATATATATATATATTCCTATTTTTAATAAAATAAGAAGAAAGACCAAGCTTCCAAATAGTACTGCAATGAAAGTTTCAACTTCAATGCCTAGTCCATTATGAAAAAATCAACTAAATTCAGTTCTTGAGTATGGTCATTGTTATGTAGAACAGGATCACATTAATCCATGATTTAGGTCAATCATTATAAATTACTACTGAATGCGATTTTCACCATGCATGGCAACATGTTCTACATAAAAATGAATTACTTGGGTCAAGCAAATTCTCAGAAAACTTTCCTTCTTCAAAACTCAACATTTCAATTTTTTTTTATCTACGGCATTTTTCTTCCTTTTTTTTTTTTTCCCCTATCGTCCCTTTGGTAACAACCAACGAAGTGATGAAATATCATGGATTGGATAATTAATTACATCCTCAGTGTTGTTTTTTTTTTCTTTCCATAGTTAATTACATCCTCAGTGTTCAGTTTGGATGTAACACCCTGAAGAATTAATTGAGATTAATTAAGATAATTGACATTATTAGTGTGCCTAATCTGGATTATTAATTGAGTTTAATTAATAAATATTTCTGACACATGTGAGTTTAAATAGTTCCAAGGTATTTAAATTATTCTCAGTAATTTATTTTAACCCAGAAGTGTGTATGAGCGCATTTCTAGACTGTTCTTTTAAAATATTGACACGTCATTTTCTTTTCCTTTTTCTTTTCTTTTCTTTTCATTTTTTTCTTTTTCCTTTCCTTTCTCTTTCCTTTCCCGTGCACTCTCTCTCTCCTTCACTCTCACTCTCCCGCTCACTCTCACTCTCTCTCTCTCTCTCATTGTGTCCCAAATCAAACGGATCTTGAACCAAGCAAAGATTTAAAGAAGTTTTCAACGTCAAGAGAAGAATTCGAGGTAAGATTACTGAAAGAACCTCTCTTGAATCTCAAGTTTTTGAATTTTAAAACTTGTTGTTGGTTCAAACCGGATTTTGATGGTTTTTGAGTAAAACTAGAGTAGAAATTGGAGATATTGGGTTCTTTGGACTTGTTTTAGGACCTAGAACCCAGATCTAGTGGTTTCCCTTTGAAATATCTCGATTTGGGACTGGATTTGCAGATTTTGAACTGATTTTCGTGAGCTTCTCTCGCGCAACTGATTCCACCGGTCGACCGGATCACATGGAAACCGGTCGACCAATGTGGTTGACCGGATTGCAGGCTGACCGGTCAACCTGTCCGGTCGACCGGTGTGCACACTACCGGTCGACCGGTAGTGTTTTAGCTTCATTTGGGGACTTGAGATAGATGGATTAGCATTGTTAATCCTTTTTTTGAGATTGAAAACCCTTGGAATGATAATGTGAAACATTAAAATGGATTAGGGCACACTAATAGGAAATCTTGGTCGGAAATTGAGATTTGGATTGCTTTAGGAATGAGAATTAATCCTAAAGTGTTGTTTTGCATCAGTGATCGCTGAGGATTCAGACTGAAGGGGCTTGAGAAAGCGGAAGCTGAAAAAGGCAACGCTAGTCCCATGTTTGATAGTGCGAGGTAGGATTTCTATCCCTTTTTTCTTGTGAACCTGTTTTCAAAAAGGATTTTGGCCTTGAAAATGTTTTAAAGAAATGGATTGATTTGAGAAAGAAAACGCTTTGAAAACCATGACTTGTTTAGTCATGGAACCTCATGGATTGTCCAGTCATGGGGCCCGCGGCTTGAGTAGTTCGTGGGGTCGTATTAACGATTTCAAAATGTTAATGAATGATTTCTTAAGCAAAGAGATCTTGTGAACTGGTAATAGAGTCTATTGCTGTAAGCCTAGATAGGATGCGGAGAGTGCATCCTCGGGGGCAGAACCCGAAACTCGGTCCGGGTAGGCGAGGCACTTGGTTAGGTAAGTAATTTGTACTAATTACTTGCTGAAGCCTGTAAAACAGTTATTTATAGTCATATTTCCTTTAAGAAAAATGATATGAGGTTTCGGCTGTTCTGTCAGGACTGAATGTCTTCTTTTATTTACTTATTCATTCATGTATTTCCTCGCACATTTATTATTCATTTATTTATAACGTTGATTTCAAATTATATCCTACTGGGCCTTTCGCTCACGTTTTATTTTTCAAATGTATTAAACCCCTCCCAGAAGACTCTAGGAGCGGTGCGGGGTAGCGGAAGATTGCTACTGTTGGATCAAGAGAGGATTGAGTTCATCCTCTTGAATAAATGTAAGGAATTTGAGAATTCTGTAAACTTATGTAATATTTGGATTTACTAGACTGTGGTTGATGTCTGTTGTAATGATTATTTACATGAGCATGTATGTACGATACTGTATGTCCTGTGGGGTGGAGCCATGTGTGTTAGAGGCTCCAGGATTCTGTAGTGATGTAATTATATTTTAATGCAGTTAAATGTGGGGCTCAGTTGGGAATCTGTTTTATTAATCCTTAATCGAGCTCCACGTCACCCACCCCGCTTGAGGGGCGTGACATAGGACCTCTTAATTGACAAGGCTCACCTAAAGGATCATTCATGATCACGCACAATTTCTTTAATTCTCAACTACTTGTGTGGTGGCATAGCCGTTTGGGGATTAGTTCTCATTGTCTGTAATGAGATTAAAATTACCGTTTGCTGATGTGATTAGGATGTAACTTTAAATTCTCTGGATGCTAGTTGGTGAAAGTATAAATTTAATTTCCTACATAATGCGATTTTACGTTATGTGGTCTTAGTACATATTTTAAAGTAACTGTTGAATTGATAATGTGAAGACACTAAGACCCTGTTTATTTCACTAATTTAAATTTAGAATTCAAATTTTGTTATAGTAAAAAAGATTTCAGAAACAGTCACATTTAATTTTTTTACTACAGTAAAAAGCTCTTACATAAAATCACATTTCAACTCAAATTAAAAACTCAAATCGATGAACTAAACGAGTCGGACTCGTTCATTTCACCGATTCGAGTTTTCAGTTTTAAGTTTCTACAGTAAAAAACTCTCTAAAAAATGTAACATCTAACTTTTTCTACTACAGTAAAAAACTATCATAAAATGTCACATCTCAGCTCGAATTGAAAACTCGAATCCGCGAAGTAAACGAGGCGATAATTTTATATTTTTATTATAAAAACAATTTCTTTTATTCTTGAAACAAATTGGGAATTCGATGGTTTTTTTTTTTTTTTTTTTTACTTCTCCATACTTTAATATTTTTTATATAATTTGACCGAATAAAAATAAGCTCTAGCGATAAGATACCTTCAGCAGAAGGCATAAGTCACAAAATACAACAACAAAAAAATCATATATTTCTTCAAACTGTTGCAAAAATTTTCTACTACTTTATACCATTGGACTGTCCCTTTCTCTCTTTCTCTCATGTCATTATTAGTTGGCATTGGGACTTGCAATCACAATGACCTAGGCTTTAGAATAATGGAATCTCCCCCACACTGCTTTATACAACCCTATGGTACTTAACCCGGGGCTTTAGAAAATTGCTCACTTAAAGAGGTAAAAATGATTTGTATTGATTAGGTTAGTTTTACAAGGTATACTAGAGAAGGCAAAAAACAAACTCCAAAAAAAAAAAAAAAAAAAAAAAAAAAAAAAAAAAAAAAACACCACAAAAAAAACACACCTCTATTAAAAAAAAAAAACTAATTTAATATCATTATCATTTATGTGTACAATGTATAAGAAACCATGAACAAAATCGCAAAGAGT